AATGTTCATATCGGTGCATCCCTAACTTTAACTCGCACTGAAATCAGTGTGTAAGTCCAGGATCTCATCAGGTTGGATGGAGCGCTATCCCATGCTGCCTCTCTCCGGTGTCCTCCAGCACGTGTTCCTCGGGCCGTAAGGAAGACAACAGGGGAAGCGAGACGCGACTTCATCTCGCAGAGGACCCTGATGCAACCCTCGGAAACCCTCAGCGGTTAGTTCAGGTGCTGCGGTCGAGTGTGTGAAGATAGGTCACATTTCTGCATCCATCGTCAACTTCTGCGCCAAGAGAATACAGACGAATGAAGCTAAGACTGACACTAGCTTACAGACTAGCAGGAACCGCCGGGTTACGCTGAGCCATCAAACACACTCCAGCAGAGCTTCAGTTAAGACGCTGTTCAATGTGTTTGCTTCAATTAAAAATCAGTATCTCCAGGGCATCAAAAAAAGCTCATTCACAGATCTCCTGCATAGGAGTGGCGGGTCACGTGTCGAATAGTATTATTTGTCTATTAATGTGCATTTGTTATTGAAGACAAAGTGTGCAATTTGTAGAATACACTTATTAATGAGCCTATACTTTTTATTCAAATACGCCGACATGTGCTTCAGGAGACCCGAGTTCCAGTCCCGACTCGAGGACCTTTCCTGATCCCGTCTCTCTCTCTCTCTCTCTCTCTCTCTCTCTCTCTCTCTGCAAAAAAATATATATATACACTGATGGTATATTGCTTGTATGTTTCGAAGACACTCGTAATAAATTTGTAATGTACTTGTAACACAAAAAAAGTACACTTTAATATCACTAATCAAGCATGTAATTAGTCCCGACACAGGCATATACTTACAGTATACTAAATTGGTCCAATTTAGTACACTAAATACACTTAAAGTAATGCGTTACTACAATTTAATTACAACTAAAATATACTTAGTACAAAATTAGCTGTTTCAAAATAGCACACTTCAAGTTAACTAACCATTAACACACTTGAAGTATACTGATAATTAGTGCTGCCGCGATTAGTCGACTTAGTCGACGTATGATAGCAGATAAACCTGCTGGTTTATCTGCTATCATTTTCTTTCACGTTCCCGCCCGCCTTCACTGCTTTGATATGAAAAATTGCGGAGGCAGGTGACGGAGCTTTCACAGTGGGCTCGTTTGCTGCGGTCCGAGTCCGAGCGCGAGCCCGATTGTTCCCGGCGCCCCCCGCAGCGTTGGTCTGGTTTCACACTCAATTCTATCGAACCCTGTTGAGTTTGCATGCATCTTATGCCATCGCAAACGTGCACGGCGCATGATAGAAAACAGAACGCGGGTCAATATATTCTGTTTTCCAAACGGACTCTTTTGAGGAGACAGTGGATTTCCAAATGTGTTGCCCTGATTGCACGCGCAATGCGCGAATACACTGCAGACTCAACTCTCGCGTATCCAAGGTAAATCATCAGCACTGTCATCCCTTACATGTGTTTTATTTAACTAAATGCATCATAATCTGCTAAAACGCATGGGCAGGTTACTTAACTTCCTGAACAAGCGCTCCCGAGTCCGTGTTGCTTTCACATTCACGCGAACCGCGGCACGGGCCCGCCATGCACGCAAGTGTAAACGCGAGCTACATAACTGCGTGCCTGCCTGCTTTCAGCGCGACTCATAGTGGGCTAGTCCAGACTCTTTCAATTCAATTCCAATTTATTTGTATAGCGCTTTTCACAGAAAATGCATTGCATCTACTTTACTATTCAGAGTGATGTTATCAGTTATGCTTTTCAGAAATGTACATAAATTAATCATTAGCTTACTGTACATTTTTTAAGGCAGAACAAAGAGCTAATTTAAGTAATACATACATGTTTGTTATTAGAGGATTAGATTAGGACTCTGACTAATATGGTATAGCCTAATGGAAATGCAGATATACTTAATGCTTAGATTGTTAATACATAATGTTTTTGAACAGGTGACATTTGATGTTTTGGCCCTTCAGTTGAGTTCAAAATAAAATGGACACAACGAAATAAACACTTGATTTTTTTTTTTATTAGTCGTTTAGATTAGTCGACTAATCGAAAAATTAGTCGAAAGATTAGTCGTTAGAAAATTAGTCGTTAGTGGCAGCACTAGTGATAATTAACCTGGCTGCAAGTATACTTAGCATTTTTTTCCAGGGTTCCCTCAAAAGTAATGACAATAATTCTAAACCATGTTAATGCTTTTCTAAAAAAACGACAAAAAAGACTTTGTATAGTAGCACATAAGTGCATTTATTCAGCAGCCACAATCGCAAACCATATAGTCACAAATATCGCAGACGATTACGCTTCACACTTTCCCTGCAATTGACAGAATTTTCCATCATTTAAGACGACGCTTTCCTGAGAGACATAATTGACCATTTTCCTGCTTTCCATGTGTTATACAGTAGGGGGCGCTGTTACGCATCTTCTGAAAGAGAACAGAGTCTCCTGATCGAAACACAGGAGAAGCAGCAGAAACAAGCGGTGGAAGCATTGCTGACGCACGTTGTAATCTTTGGAGGAAAAAAACATAATTTTCTCCGCTTTTTGTTCAAAATGTTTTTTGCTGGCTGGAGAGTTAAATAATTGAGAGTAACAGAAATCGCAATCATGATTAAAATACGAGTTATACAGCCCTTGTGTGACCCTGGATCACAAAACCAGTCACGAGTCGCACGGGTGTATCTGTGGCGATAGCCAACAATACACTGTATGGGTCAAAATTATCGATTTTTCTTTTTATGCCAAAAATCATTAGGATATTAAGTAGAGATCATGTTCAATGAAGATATTTTGTGAATTTCCTACCATACACATATTAAAAAATATTTTTGTGAGTGAATGCAACAAAATCGCGAACATAAATGCACAACTTTAAAGGAGATTTTCTCAATGTTTAGATTTTTTTGCACCCTCAGATTCCAGATTTCCTAATAGTTGTATCTCGGCCAAATATTGTTCTATCCTAACACACCATACATCAATGGAAAGCTTATTTATTCAGCTTTCAGATTATGTATGAATCTCATTTTCAAAAAAATTACCCTTGTGACTGGTTTTGTGGTCCAGGGTCACATATAAATACTTGCGCCAAAAAATCTGAATTTGAATCTGAACCAGCAAAAATCCAATAAGTGACGGTAAACACTAATATGAAGAGCTGTGTTAAAAATATTGATTTCTCGATTCTCTTTTTGATAATCCCACATTGATTCTTAAATCCCAAAGGTTGAACCTGCCATCCAATAATCACAATAAGCTTTGATAGTTTTAATATGAAACATTCTCGGCTTTCGAATCCTGTCAGTTTCATCAGTAAATTCAGTCAGTAAATGTGTGTGTGTGTGTGTGTGTGTGTGTGTGTGTGTGTGTGTGTGTGTGTGTGTGTGTGTGTGTGTGTGTGTGTGTGTGTGTGTGTGTGTGTGTTTAATGTGTGTGACAGAAGAACCGATCAACTCTTCCTCTTTACTACTAGTTACAGCAGCAAATAAACATTAATGAACATCAGAAGGAATGATGAGAGATACAGAACAACTTCCTGAAATCAATCATGTCTCATAATCCATCAATCAGTGTTTCAACCACAGAAACACGTCAATAAAACAGCCGGAGAACAATAATGTCACGTAACGCCACATTTACCTCAGAAAAGACATTCAATGACCATAAACCAAGTTAACTAGAACAACAACTCTAGAGAGGAGCATTTTGATTAGTATAGAGACTATAAATTCACTATATTTTTACTCAACCTGTTCTTCAATATTAAATTGAATAAATCCTTCATGAAAACAAGTTTATGGCATTTCAATGTTTATGTATTGGAGTAGAATTAGAATTATGGCATTACAAAGTTATTTAACCTGTAATAATATAGTAATAGGTTAACTCCCTGTATAGTTTAAAGCTTTATAGTAGAGACTCGAGAGAGATATTTTTGCTTTAGGAAAAAATGTACATAAATCTAAATTTGATCAGAATTGCAAGCTTGAGAATTGAAATCGAACCGTGTCAATACCCAGCCCTACTAATATTGTTATAAATGAACCTGCCAATAAACAGGTGGATTCTCCACAGCTGTGCAAATAATCAGAGTGATAATAATAACACAAGCATCTAATGAGCTGCCTACATAGACAGAGATGCTAGTGTGCGATGCCATAAAACAGGTCCACAAGATTGTGTTTAGGGTGCATGATGATGCCCTATGTAGGGAGCACGACATGATTGAGACACGACCACAGAGGGCCAATAGCTTAGCCAGAGTAACTCCTGCTTTATAACAATAGAAGACAGAAAGATAATCTTCATATGTGTCATTATACCCCACAGAATCACACCTAAAATCCTCCATTAGCATTTATCAGCGGAAAATAAAAACACAAACACCTGACTGAAGAGAAAATTCATTGTTTCGTTTACAAATGAGCGTCTGAGGCTAACGATAAAACAACACCCAGCGATCAAAACGACTCAAATATGCAACTTGAAGATCGTGTTAAACGACTAAAAGCACGAAAATACACATAAGATGTGAATCTGATTTCTAAACCGAAAGTGTGATAAAGAATCGCTGCATTCGGGCTCATCATGCTAACATTAGCCGCTTAGCAACACCTGCATCGTGAGAAAATGATGCTGCGCTTCAATACAACAGCGTTTTCATCGCGTTTCCACATCATTAAACACATATTTACCAATTAGCACTATTCAAACGCCGACAGATGTCGTTCGCTCCTCAGGTTTTTAATACATAAAGCAGATGAGGAGCGAAACATCTGGACGCGCCGCATCAATAGAAACGGAATAAACCGTCAGAGAATAAAACGACAGCCGTAAAACCTTCACAAACAGCACAAGCTCAGGAGATTTTACTCCGCTATTCAAACAGAAACACAAAGCCACAACCATCACGCAAGCGGTTAGACAGTGAACACACTTTGGAAACGAGATGTTAATATTGAAATATTCACCTGGACTGGTGTGGATGAGGATGAGGATGAGAGGAAGGTGGTGTAAGGATGGAGAGAGGAGAGGAGGAGGTTGTTGTTGTTATTGTTGGTGGGTTACAGTCGCCAGGACTACGGTGACTATGGCGCTGCAACTCGGGGCAACGGTTGCTATAAAGCTCGCCGCGTAAACTAACTTGACGCTGCGGAAAGAGGCGGAGCTTATATATAAAGCTCTGTGCACAACCGAACCTGACGTTGAGAGAAGGGGCGGGGCCAGCTGTGATGGGAGGGAGGAGTCCGCGTGCGCCTCTCTTTGTGGCCTCTATTTTTTTAAATAATTTGCGGCTGATTTATTATTTATTAAAGTACTGAGGAGAAAAATATCATAAAAGGGCTGAAACTGCGAACGTACGCATTTGTTGCAAAATAAATGGTTATCATGGGCTGTGTGCAAACCACCAATAGGAGGCGCCCAACGATGAGTGGGCGGGGCTTTTGAAAGCAGGTCTGGTTGAGATGGTGAGATGAGAAAGAAGGGCGGGGCTTGTGCGCCAATCCAGAAACCACTTTCCCTTGTACTCAAAAATCACAAATCAGCCTCACTTTTGATGAATTCTGCTGAATAAAATCAGTCAGATTGAGATTATGAAAATTTTGCATGTAGACCTGCCTTTTACTTTTGCTTGAAGGAATACCCCAAGATTTATGTAGTCAAAACCAGAGATATATTGGCATGTACTCCTACTATTTGCATGAAAAACCTTTACATTGGATGAAGCCACACCCACCAAAAATAAGTCAATATAGAGTAAAACTTATATATTTACAAAATGAAACATATGACTGCCCAACTCCATCTGAAACTGGACATTTTCATACAAGGGTGGACAGTTATTAGTATATTCATCGAGGGTGAACTGATCGGTGTGAAACTTTTACTTATTCCCTGTTGTATAAGAAAAAAAATCTTTTTTTTTCATTTTATTATTGTATAGTGTTTTACGTATTTTCTTTTTCACTTATTCTATTTTTGTATCTTTTTTATTTGGGCCACCGTTGTTGTCAAGGATTGTTAAATTCGTTGTTGTAATTTGTTAAAATGTATAAAAATAAAGTCAATCAGATGAGTAACCCTCAAATTAAACCTCTTAACAACAAAGATTCTTTTTTTTTCTTGCAAAAACGTTTGTATACAATGTTTTTCCAAGGACAATCATTCAATTTAATGTTAACAGATTGCTGAGATTAGAGCATGACAACACAGTATTAAAGTAAAACCAATGATGTTTCGGCATTCTGGAGGAATTTAAACATTTTATCCCCAAAATACACATTGATATGAAGGTTATGCAAACCTCAATCTTAAAAGTTGATTTGTTTTTTAGCAGATAACACTTTACAAACATATGCATAAATATTTACATATCACTATGGCTTTAAATCTGTGTTAAGTGCATTTTGTTGTCGGGGGTATATTTATAGTTTACAAGTGGCATTAAAAAACATTTATACCCTTTTAAAATATCAAAGCATGTCATTTAGTGTTAGGAAACATGCCTTTTAAGCTAAAAAAAATAAGCTTGTCTGGTTTGAAATAAAAGAACAGATTTATGTTTGGAAATGAGCACAAATGATGAAGAAAAGTGGTGATTTACGCACAGATAAAAACACTTGCTTTGACATTTTTACAGTTTGAGTTTGTCTTAAATGTCCAGTTTCTGCCATGATTAAGTGTCCACGAGGAACGTTCTTTCAACGGCGCGAGTAAGATGTTCGGGTTGATGAGAGGAAACCTTCATCCTTCAGTAAAGACGCATGAGATCCGGCTCGGGCATCTCGGGATGTGGAGATAATTGTCCTCCGGTTCTCCCAGAAACTCCTCCGCTCCGGTTTGGCAGTCGAACACTGTTGTCACAAACACACGATAATAGGCAACGTTTCGTTTTTATTCAGAAAGTACATTAATGGACATTTGTATAAAGGTTTCTAGTTTGCCTTGAATAGTCTTTGTATCACATTATGCCCTTCTTGTGTTCAGGCTCTACTAGAACAGGTTTAAATGCTTGAATGTTGATTATTCTCCTCATATTCTCCATTGTTGCGGCTCCTCTCTTCCCAGTCTGTCAGTAACGCTCTGTTTACTTCCTGTCTCTATGAAGCCCCTCCTTCTGAAAAGCACACTGTGCTCTGATTGGTCGGCTGGAGCAGTGTGTTGTGATTGGTCGAGTGTGTTTGGGAATGTCCCGCCCCTTTCCATAACCGCCAGTTTAACACACTACTAACTAACTCAACCAGGCCCCGCGCCTTTATTCTGCGTATGAATTATTATAATGAGGAATATTGTGACGTGTTCGTTCCCGGGAGAAACTCAAGACTACAATGGAGGCGTTTCAGGAGTTCAGAAACACTGATCGAGAGACTTTGTAACTTTGCAGAGCTTCTTCATGCTTAAAAACAGCAACATTAAAGTCAGTCATTTTACTCAGTACTTACTTTGAGTTATTACAATGTAACTGCGTCACCTTAAAATAAAGTGTAACCTTAATTTAACAGCATTTGCATTTGTCAATTAAAGTCGCCCTGTAGTCAATCGTTTTACACTTAAAACCCATCTTTGATGCCCAAAATGACACATTTAAACGTTTTTTTTCCCTTAAAATATCTTGAATGTAACTCGACACCCTCGCCTCATTTAGTATGCGCGGCTCTATGAATATGCAAATGAGCCCCGCCTCCACTCACTCCTCAGCTCAGAGATCCACTGGTTGACGATCACACGTTGATCTGATTGGTTACAAGGTCGTTTGTGACGTCAGAAACACCAGCGATTTCAAACCGTGTTTTTGAGACTGTCTTTGGTTCACTGCAGTTTTAAGCAGAAAATACTCAGCAATGCTGTCGACTTATGAACTTACACATGGTGTGTCTTAAAGCGTATTAAAAACACCACATAGACACATAAACAACACTAAAAGCTGGATTTACACCACAGGGGGACTAGTAAGAAAGATGAACATGTAAACTTTAAATAATAAGTTAGTTTCTGCAGTGCATATCATGATGCTTTATAGTATTGGTTTGTGTTTTTACCAGTGATGGTTCTGTGGACGAGGTCGAGCTCGGGCTGAGACGTGTCTAATGAGCCCAGATGTTCCTCAAACATGGGCATCTGCATCATGGAAAAGGAAGAGATCTGCTTGTCTTCCAGCGGTGAGTCAGTGTATGAGAACACGGTCCGGGCGTCACCAGAGAAACCTGAGTGTTAATGAAAAAACATCACTCACAACATCCAAAACTGAACTATTCTGTGCTTAACTTAAGATTGCATGCAGAATGAATGATATTTCCTCATTTGAGCCTGGAAAAACTTCATAAAATCTGTACGCTGAGATTTTTACATGCATTCGATGGATCTATTTGTGCCTCGGCCTGACAGACATCTGCCATCTGTTGCTCTAAGAGCAGAAGGACACACTTGTGAATCATTCAGAGCTGATCGCTTCGTTCTCCGCTTACGCTCACGTCTTAAATATGCATTCTGCGTCTGCTTACTGCACATATGGCTTATATGTAAATGAGCTTATATATAGTGTCAGACGCCACACGGATCTGACACCTGCACTTTTAATTAAAATAAAAACTGAAATGGTGATATGGCTGTGTGTATGCGCTGCGTGTTTCAGGCACAGTGTTCATTTACACGTGAGCAACTCATGATCCGCCGGGGCTTTGAGTTTGAGTCGCTTTAACGCGCATTTGGGAACGAAAACATACACAAACATCTTTACATACTTGTAGTAAGAAGCGCTTTTTGACAAATATGAAGCTTAACTGTCACCTCCCTTTTTGAGAATAGACGTGAAAATGCCTTATCAAACTTAAATGGTTGTAATTCAACAATGCTTTGGAAAATAGACCTATTTTTGGTCTTGTTTTATAGAAGACACTCAGCTGATTATTGACTCAAGTAAAAGCTTCAAAAAATTAAAGTATGAAAAAGTTATTGAAGTTTAGATTAACTGTAAATCAAATGTACTGTACTACACATTTTACATTTTATATAATATATATATTTTACAAAATAATTTTACTATAAAATCAAAGCCATATATCAAACCAAGCTGTGTTACAAATTTGAAGTTGATATCACAAAAAATTAAGTTTTTGTTTATACGCTGTGCCAAAAATATCCACCAGGTGTCACAAATTCTTTTGATGCATTTTCCTGTAACAAATTAATATATTTCTGTCCAAATATCACTTCTATCACAAAATAGTCATCAAATATGAAACTTTGAGACTCAGACCTTTCCGACGACGTGTGTTTTGTCAAGATTAGAAAAGGTTTTGATTATAAAGTAGTAAAAAAAAACAATTTGTAATATGAAACCTGATGACGCCCACTAGGGGAGGAGCCAGCTAAAAGAATTTAAAGTATCGTTTCCATGGTAACGCAATGTCCAATTTCAAAACGGTTTTCACAGGATGAATTTTGAGTTCGTAAGCTTTCGAATGATACCTAATTTATGATGATTATTAAAATATGTGATACAAAAAAGGCAATAAAAAAGAGCGCCAAGCTAGCGGGACGGTGTGGTTTACGTTAAATGAAAGTTGTTATTATTATGTTATTAAACTAGTTGTTATTATTATTATTACTATCTTTCTTAAATACTCAAATTTTCTTTTACAGTGAATTAGTAATATATATAATATATGTGTATTTGATATACATTTGTATATGTGTATTAAATAATAACACAGAAATTATAATTGTGTAGGCCTGCAAATAAGCACAGCAAACCTGTAAATCTTTTTTAAAGCACATTTAAAATTGCATTTTTTTTATCCCCCCCCCCAAAAAAAGTGATTCAGTGTGGAGGAAAAAACGTCAGAATAATTGATTAATGAAGTTGTTGTAAGTCACGTGTGTACGTTTTCTGAGAAACATTGTTGATATTTGAAATCACCAAAACAAACACGCCCCTACCTAAGAGGACCACACCCCTATTTTTATAGCTCCGCCCCCAAATTCACAAACACGCTCTGCAACACAGGCACCTCCCCCTCATGAGTGGACACGCCCCTTACTGCTGATTGGCTACAAGTGTGTTTTGTGCTCTATCCGATCCACTTTCAACAGCGTTTCTCAGAAATCGCTCACTGCACCTTTAAGGTGTTTAAATGTCTGTTTATTGCAATTAAAATCGGTGCACGCCACATTAATACAATCATGGGCTTAATTGCAATAGTTTAATCCAAGTATTATGTTAACATAAGGTAAATTAATTGCAATATTGCCCATTATAATTGCATTGTGAGTGTGCATGTAAATGTGCTTTTCTCATGTATGAAATAAACTAAAGTTATTAAAGGGAACTGGGACGTACCGTCCTGAAGCGCAGGCTGGGGGGTTCTGGGATGGTTGGAGTATCTGGGCAGGTTGTGAGTGTTTTGGGTCAGACTGTGATGAGGTGATGAAGACGACACTTGCTGTGACACAGGAACCCTACACCTGAGAAACGAGACAATAATCACTCATATACAGTATGTGCATTTTAAAGACAAAAATCATTTACACATCCTCATGATGTTCCAAACCTTTTCATAGCATAAAACTGTTTATCCAGTTGCCAGGACAAGTGCACTGACCTCTAACCCTATTGTTATGATATTTTACAAATTTATGCAAAACCTCAAAGAGAGATAATTTTACAAACATATGCATAAATATTTACATATCCGCATGGCTTTAAGTCATTTTGTTGCCACTTATAGTTTTGCTCATCTATGAACTATATACATACAGTTGCCCCCAAGCTTTTATAATATATAAAAGCATGTATCATTCATGCATAAAGATGCTTTAAACCTAAACATTTGGAAGTTTTTCTGGTTTAAAGGGGTCATGTGATGCTATTTTAAAAGTTCATTATTTTGCTTATTAGATGTAATAGAATAGGTTAACATGCTTTAATGTTCACAAAACACATACTGTACATTGTTGCAGCACCTCTATTCCCAGTCTGTCTGAAACGCACTGATTTCTACAAAGCCCCGCCTCTTGAAAAGCTCCGAGTGCTCTGATTGGCCAGCTGACCCAGTGCGTTGTGATTGGCCAAACACCTCCAGCGTGTAACCATAAAGTTTTTTTTCACTGGTCAATTTTGAGATTTTGGCCTATTTGTCTTCAATAACATGTCTTCTTCTTTCTGGTGAAAAAAGGTCCAAAATACACATTTAGGTCTTTATTTTACTACACTTTGTCTGTTTACATCTGTAGATTTCTCCTAAATTCAACACAAGTTGTCGTCACATACGCCGTTGGAAAGCTCTCTCTCTCTCCTGTACAATGTTGTCGGATTCAAATATGGTCATTTCCTTTTTTATCAGCAACCAATCGTGGGGCATTTAACTCTAAAAGCGAAATCTCATTGGCTGATGTCAATTCTTTAAAGGCTATTCTCGGAGCCAGAAATCTCCACTTCAGCAGCACTCACATACACCAAACTTTACAGATGTATTCTCATCTATATTCTTAAGGTTTTTACTGAGGGGTTTGTTCATATATCATTCAGATTCTGATTTATACAACATTTTATACCTAAAAACGGGGCGAAAATAGATTTTTTTATGGCTGTTGACAGTTTTGGTGTGATAAAAAGAGATATCCAAAATCCCCTCTGTAAAAACCGTTGACTCTAATATGTCAACAAAATGAAACAAGAATTTTGAATCTGGCTTTATCCAATGTTCAGATTTCTCTTCTGGAAATATATGCAAATTAGTGCATATTTAATGAGATCATACCTAATTTGCATATTTAAACATATGAATATTTGCATATTAAAATATTCTAAAAACTTGTAATACAAAAGATATTTGTCTTAATGTCAGTAATCAACTGGGGAAGTTTCATGCTGATATCTATTAGTTTTTTTTTTTTTCACCTGGGGTGTCTCGCATTAAATGTATATTTACATTACATTTATATTTAAATTCTAATTTATTTAGGTGTGTATAGCTGGATTCTTATTTTTATTTTTATTACACGCTAAAGCAAACATTAAAAAGCATCATATGACCCCTTTAAAATAAAATAACAGATATATGTTTGGAAACAAGGAGAAGTTTTAAGAAAAAAATGATGAAGAACAGTGATGTTTCAAAAAGAGGCGCACAGATTAATAAAAGACACTTGCTTTGATATATTTTGTGTAATGAAATTTAGAAGTTTAAGTGTGGCCTTAATTAATGTCCAAATAATTTAGTGTTTATGAAGTGAATAAAAAATCTAATTTCTCCCATGATTAGGTGTCCATGAGGAAAGTTTTAAAGTCCCCCTGTGTTAAATCCAGCTTTTAATGTTGTTTCTGTGTCTATGTGGTGTTTTTAATACGCTTTAAGACACACCATGTGTAAGTTCATAAGTCGACAGCATTGCTGAGTATTTTCTGCTTAAAACTGCAGTGAACCAAAGACAGTCTCAAAAACACGGTTTGAAATCGCTGGTGTTTCTGACGTCACAAACGACCTTGTAACCAATCAGATCAACGTGTGATCGTCAACCAGTGGATCTCTGAGCTGAGCGAGTGAGTGGAGGCGGGGCTCATTTGCATATTCATAGAACCGCGTAGGGTGTCGAGTTCAAGATATTTTAAGGCATGAAAGGGAAAAATATTTAAATATATAATTTTGGTGATCAAAGATTAGTTTTAAGGGATAAAACTTCAAAGCATTTTGAAAGCCTGTTTAACAAACGCACTGACCCTCTACTGTTATGATATTAGGCTACCCTTTATTTTAAGGTGACGTAATTACATTGTAATAGTACATAGTAAAAGTAATAAACTACATGTACTCACTATAGAGTTACGGTTAGGGTTTGTTTTATGCTTGTAATTATGTATAATTTACTGTAATTACTATAGAAAGTAACATGTAACTACGTCCCCTTAAAATAAAGTGTTATTTTAACTGCTATTTTTATGATGATGTTGTTGTTTTTTTGGTGCTTGTCTGTATAAATCACCATCCCATAATTAAAAATAACAGCATGATCATTCCGCTAAACATTTAATTAGTGTTTCCCAGTGAAGAACGTGTTTAAAATAACATAATCAAGAATACCGATTCATAAATTTGACATTTTCCCAGCAAATGCATCCAAAAAGCAGCATTGTGTTTTTTCCTGGAAGTGAAACTACAGTGGCACAGGAACAGAGCGACTGCTTTTAACGGGAGTAAAATCTGGGAAAACATGTCAAAGGTGTTTCACAACTGATTTAACCCAGAGTGAGGTAATTACGCTAATGCCAATGCATTGTAAATAAATAACCAATCAGATCAACGTGTGATCGTCAACCAGTGGATCTCTGAGCTGAGGGAGTGAGTGGAGGCGGGGCTCATTTGCATATTCATAGAACCGCACATACTAAATGAGGCAAGGGTGTCGACTTACATTCAAGATATTTAAAGGCATGAAGACATTTTTTTCAAGGAAAAAACGTTTAAATATGTCATTTTGGTGGTTTTAAGGGATACAAGTATTGACTACAGGGCGACTTTAAAGCGTGTTTTTGAAAGCGCTGTAGTAAAATCTGGGAAAACAGAGGTCAGAGGTGTTTCACAACTGCTTCAGCCCAAAGTGAGGTAATTACGCCAATCCCATTGCATTGTGTAATTCGCTGATTGAGCTCCTGGTGCTCTCCGGTCGCTGGCTATAGTGTCGTCTAACACGGGCCCTCGAGACCAATGAGGCAGAGCAGGTCTCGATCTCCTCAGACGATTGTCTAGCTTGGATCATTGCTTGGACGATGTGCGTCTGCGTCCAGAAAAGCTCCTCTCTGTGCCTTTGAAGCGTGCCGTCCACAAACATAAGCCTCTTCCCAAACTCTTTTGCCACAGTAGACGTGTAAAACACACAAAAGCGCAGTGGAGCCTTTCCCCGGAGAAAAGCTGCTTTATTAGAGTCAGATTATTGCAACTATGAGCTCTCAGCCATAAAGCCATGACAACCAGCCACGCATTTATCGCAGATCAAGAGGAAATAAAAGCGCTGGAGCTTTTGAATCGGTCACTCCGCCAAGCGAAACTTGGAATGAATGTCAACTAGACAGTGATTCAGTGTGTGGCAACTTACTCGATTGAGCTTCGACCAAAAACATAGTGATAGGAAAAAAACATACGGCATTATTAGACTGGATTCATCAGGCCTGAAAGGACAGTGGCGTATAGAAGTGATGCCAGATTCACGCCGCGGCTAACCTGTCTTTCACCCGCTCTGATCTTTGAGTGAATACAAGTGTAGCTTCATTTTCTCCAGTCGTAGATGCATGAACGGCCGTCTTTTCTCCTTTTTCATTTCTTTCAGACGTCAAGTGAACTTGCTCGCAGTTTTAAACCCAGCAGGGACGTCGTGGAGGAGCGAGGCTTACTCATAGTATAGCCTCGTTTGTTTATCACAGGGATTGTGGGCGAAGAACTCAAATATAACTTGATTTATTAACATAGAGAAAACTTAACTTTCTCTGTAGTCAATAATTTTATTCCTTAAAACTCACCAAAATTTCCTTTAAAAAAATGTCTTCATGCCTTAAAATATCTTGAATGTAACTCGACACCCTCGCCTCATTTAGTATGCGCGGTTCTATGAATATGCAAATGAGCCCCGCCTCCACTCACTCCCTCAGCTCAGAGATCCACTGGTTGACGATCACACGTTGATCTGATTGGTTACAAGGTCGTTTGTGACGTCAGAAACACCAGCGATTTCACACCGTGTTTTTGAGACTGTCTTTGGTTCACTGCAGTTTTAAGGAGGAAATGTTCCCACGCAATATTCTGTTCCTCTCAGAGTTATGTCACATGACAGAAGTTAAATGTTGTCCTTAAAGTCGAAACATCTGATGTCGTTGATTGGTTGATTGTGGTGTAGTTCTCGTACCTGTTGTTCCCGGGTAAAGGAGGCAGTGGACGGGTGTGTGTTGGGCCGGGCTGGTTTACGGTGAACACTTGCACATCAACAGAAGACAAAACAGAAAATCATCATTACTTTTCGGTAAAAGGAGATTCGTAGCCATTAGCCATCACTGGAATGAAATATCAAAATGATTCTGAAAGCTTTTTAGGGTCGTGATACAATGAGCTGATTTTACTTTTTCTGCATAAACGGGAAATGTAAGAAATTGTAACAAATATGTCAATGGAAAACATTTATTTTAAGGAATAAATAAACACTGGAGTTGGTGAAGCGCTAACAGGACTAAAAATAGAGGTGGTTCTGAATATATATATATATATATATAAAGCTCTGGTAATGAGAGAGGTTTGTTTCTGTGTTTGTTTTATTCTTGTTTCTGTTCTTTATATTACATGCAAAAAACACACATATATAAAGCATTATTAATGCATCAGTTTATAATGCATTGTAACTTATGGATAATTGTAACAACAGTATTTTATCTATTCACTGAACTCGCCATTAGAAAATATAATGCATTAAAACATGACAAAAACAATTTCAGATATAACAAGAAATCTGCTAATTTTATTATGCATTTTCACTTTAGTTATAATTAATTATGAAAAGATATGATGTGAATAAAATAACCTTTATAATGCATTATCCATAAGGGCTTTAATGTTACCAAAAAATAATAAAAATAAAGGAGAAGAAATATGCAATATGCAACTAAAAATGCATCTCTAGCAGTTATTTTAGTATCTCAATGATAGTTTTTATTAATATTTTAGATATTGTTTTTATTTTTGTATATTTTACGATTTCATTTGAAATTTTAGTTTTAGTTTTTTTTTTTATATGTCTATATAGTTTTTATTAATGTTTTTTATTTCTGTTTTAGTTATTTTAGTACATCAAGTTAAACTAAATGAAAATGACAAATGTTGCCTTGGCAACGAGCTAAAATAATATGCTTTTTATATTTTATTTAATTTAATTTCAAGCATCATAAATGTTTGTATGGTAAGTATAGTAAGGGCCTCAGTAATACAGACACTTGCTTGAACACACGACTGTTTCATACCGGTGTAGAGATCATCAGTGGCTGACTGGTGCTTGGTCTCAATCAGGTCCAGTGGCGAGCGGCTGTGGTGCAGCGGCTGAACGGTCAAACACTCGGCGAGCCCGTCCTGACTGCGTCTCAGCTTCATCACACCAAATACAGACACACTCATGCATGATACTTTATCTCAACACCAAACACTTTTACACTTCTGTTACACTTTGAATAACATCTGGAATACTGTGCACGTCGCATAACATCTGGAATAACGTGCACTTTGAATAACAACATCTGGAATAACGTGCACTTTGAATAGCAACATCTGGAATACTGTGAACTTCGCATTACAACATCTGGAACGACATGCATTTCGCATAAAACATCTGGAATAATGTGCACTTTGAATAACAACATCTGGAAAACTGTGCACTTTGAATAACAACATCTGGAATACTGTGAACTTCGCATTACAACATCTGGAACGACATGCATTTCGCATAAAAACATCTGGAATAACGTGCACTTTGAATAGCAACATCTGGAATACTGTGAACTTCGCATAACAACTTCCGGAATGTTATGATGTAACTCAGATGTTATTCAAAGTGCACATTATTCCAGATGTTGCTATTCAAAGTGCACATTATTCCAGATGTTTTTATGCGAAATGCATGTCGTTCCAGATGTTGTAATGCGAAGTTCACAGTATTCCAGATGTTGCTATTCAAAGTGCACGTTATTCGAGAAGTTATTCAAACGTTATTCGAGATGTTATTCGAAGTGCACGTTATTCCAGATGTTGTTATGCGAAGTTCACAGTATTCCAGATGTTATTCGAAGTGCACGTCATTCGAGATGTTATTAAAAGTCCACGTTATTCCAGATGTTATTCAAACGTTATTCCAGATGTTATTCAAACGTTATTCCAGATGTTATTCAAACGTTATTCCAGATGTTATTCAAACGTTATTCCAGATGTTATTCAAACGTTATATTCGAAGTGCACGTCATTCGAGATGTTGTTATGCGAAGTGCACATTATTCCAGATGTTATTAAAAGTGCACGTTATTCCAGATGTTATTAAAAGTGCACGTTATTCCAGATGTTATTAAAAGTGCACGTTATTCCAGATGTTATTAAAAGTGCACATTATTCTAGATGTTATTCGAAGTGCACATTATTCCAGATGTTATTCGAAGTGCACATTATTCCAGATGTTATTAAAAGTGCACGTTATTCCAGATGTTATTCAAACGTTATTCCAGATGTTATTCGAAGTGCACGTCATTCGAGATGTTGTTATGCGAAGTGCACATTATTCCAGATGTTATTAAAAGTGCACATTATTCCAGATGTTATTCAAACGTTATTCCAGATGTTATTCAAACGTTATATTCGAAGTGTACGTCATTCGAGATGTTGTTATGCGAAGTGCACATTATTCCAGATGTTATTAAAAGTGCACGTTATTCCAGATGTTATTAAAAGTGCACATTATTCTAGATGTTATTAAAAGTGCACGTTATTCCAGATGTTATTAAAAGTGCACATTATTCTAGATGTTATTCGAAGTGCACATTATTCCAGATGTTATTCGAAGTGCACATTATTCCAGATGTTATTAAAAGTGCACGTTATTCCAGATGTTATTCAAACGTTATTCCAGATGTTATTCGAAGTGCACGTCATTCGAGATGTTGTTATGCGAAGTGCACATTATTCCAGATGTTATTAAAAGTGCACATTATTCCAGATGTTATTCGAAGTGCACATTATTCTAAATTATTCTAGATCAACATCTGGAATAACGTGCACTTTGAATAAAAACATCTGAAATACTGTGCACTTCGAATAACATCTGTGATAACATTCACAATAAGAGCAAGAAAGTAAATTATTTTGATTTCACGGCAACTTTAAACACTGCATTTACTTTCCAAATGTTATTAAAGCACATCGATAGATAAAGGCCTGGATAATTGGCGCATAATCTTTTGCCTAATTGAGCTGAATGTACAGTAATTAATCATAAGCATATGGTTTAATATCACAGCTTAAAATATCCCTGCGTTTGGAGCTCTGGACCTGCAGGGCTTCGTGATTATATTTAGTGTCTCTAATAATATGTTCTGAGTAATTCCTAAAGTGAGAAAGAACTGATGTATACAGGCAGGACAGATCCTGTATACGCAGGTGGACGAGTTTTTTCTATTCTTCTATTTTCTCTCTCCCAGAAACCGTGTACCTGAGGAATCTGTATCTATGGTGACGTGACCTTTATTTGGTTCCTCTGTGATAATGAACGGCTCCTACACAAGCCTGCTAACAAGTTACAAGTTTAGAGACTTCGTTATCAACGCCC